CCACCCTGACAACTAGGAAGTTTTTCCTAATGTCCAACCTAAACCTCCCTTGCTGCAATTTAAGCCCATTGCTTCTTGTCCTATCCTCAGAGGCCAAGGAGAACCATTTTTCCTCCCTCTTCCTTGTAACTCTCTTTTAGGTGCCTGAAAACCACTATCATGTTCCCCCTCAGTCTTCACTTTTCTCAACTAAACAAGCCCAATTCTTTCAATCTTCACAGAAGGCTAGGTCAAAGACATGCACCTCATACTTGAAGTGGAAGGTGGAGATGTTTGTGATAGCCTTATTCTCTGCCTTGTGCATAAAGCCACTGAGAGACCAGAACTGATCTTTATATTTGCACATGGGCAATACAATAAAGCCAAGACATGAATTCAAGTTTCATAATGTAAAATACACAGCCTAGTAAATACAAGCAGCCAGAGTGCCTAATTCTTGCAGATTCCCAGGCCTGGAGAGCTGCACCATTGAATGCGTCACTCTACTACGTTGTTGGAAGAGTCAAGATGCCACAAAGATAAAGCAAAATTCAGCTCCTCTCCAAGGACACCATCTCTACCACTTTATTAGCAGTTTAGTGTCCTCTTTATAAGCAGAGAGCTGGATCTAGTTTAAAACCACACTTCTTCCTGTGCATACAGACACTTTAGACAGTTTGGACTCTCCCAGGGGCCCTCATCCTTCTGGGGTGCCTTCTCTAACACTGAGGTACAGCTGGCAGAAATAAGAAAAAGAAGCATACATACCACATAGAAGTCCAGCCCATAGATGCCAATACTGGGATCGTATTTAATGCCCAGATCAATGTGCTCCTGGATTCCAAAGCCAAAGTTCCCAGTGTCTGAAAAGTTGTTTTTCCTCAGCTCATATTCTCGCACCTGAAACCCATTTACAACCAGTTACATTCTCTTTCCTTCCAAACAGGGGCCTGCTTTTTCCACTGATCTGCAACAGGATCCACTTGGGAATCAAATCGCTTCTGGCAAGAGTTGACAGGTTCTTATCTAGCAGATTTGGGTATCCTGAGGCTCTGCCAGTCACAGTAACAAAGGCGGCATCACAGGTCTGCACAGACTGCAGACTCGGGGCTAAGAATCTTGACTGCCAGCAAGTGCTCAATGCAGCCTAAAGTCCTAACACACACCTGGTCACTGAAAGCAAGGAAGGATGTTAGCACAAGATACCGTACACAAACTTTTTAGTAAGAAAAGTTACTAAATGTCTGTAGTAGAACTTTCAGCATCTATTAATGCAGGCAACACTGACAGATATGACAGCATGTACACACAATCCATGGACCCATCTGAGACCTTGCACCATGAGCACGGTTTGAGCTCTCCATGAGCTAAGTACCTGCACTAACTTTATCTTAAATTCAGGCTATGTCTACTCTGCAATGAGAGATGTGACTGCAGCACTTCTAGACAAATCTGAGCAAACCCCAAGTAGCACCATGTACTCTAGCAGATGAGTTTGTACAGCCCATGCTACTGCAGCTTCACTACTATTCAAGATTGCTAGAGTAAGTTAGCTCTGGTATGTCTAAAAGTACTGCAATTACATCTCAGGATATAGCTCAGAGGTTCAAGAGCCAAATTAGTAATCTGTATTATCCAAGAGCCATAGTACTGTGACTTATTTCATAGGTGCACATGCACATAGAAATATATATTATTCTCACAGGTTAATTACATACTAAAGGTATTCCGATTATTAACTAGTCTTAGCTATGAGCCAATTAAATCCCACAACGTTTTCATACCATTCTGCAAAGAGCTGCAGGAGGTACAATGAAAAGCCACTTGCACCCCAAGCCTCAGTCTGAGCATCACTGCTTTAGATGAATACACTCAACTGATTTCTTCTTCTAAGTCTATTTTTTCAAATTCCAGTTTGGTACAGTATCACATAGACCAACGTTTCCCAAATAGTGCTCTGTAGAACCCCAGGGTTCAGCCAAGTAAAAGTAAGGGTTCTACGAGAACTCAGAATTCCCAGCTGTCTCTTTAACAGTGATCGCTTTTTTTTTCTTTTTTTTTTTTTTTTTTGGCTAGACCAATTTTCTTTGGCTGGGGTTCCTCGAAATTCTAAAGGGGTTCATTGGCCAAAAAGTTAGGAAACATTGACTTAGACAGTATGTCTAGAAGTTGACACGGGAGAGAAACTAACGCCACAGGGAAACAGCGTAAGGTATTGCCTACACTTCCAACTTTAAAGCACTGCCACAGCATGCTTTAATGCAGCAGTGTGGTCATGACACCAGTACTGGGTCAAAGCTCTAAGTAAACCATCTCCACTCCCAGTGCTAGGAGCCTGTTTACACAGCTACTTTACAGTGCTGTAACTTGCTATGTTCAGAAGGGGGAGGGGAGAAAGAGAGGGACTGTTTTTTTCACACCCGAGTGAAAAAGTTATAGTGCAGTAAAAGTTAGCAGTGTACACAAGTCCCATATCATCAACTTAAGTGCTGTTAAATTATTTTTAGACTAACTTCAAATTCATGCAAGATTTAACAAGCCACATGAATAGCTAAAACAGTCAAAATTCTCACCTTCAACCCCTTCTCCAGAATCTCCTCTGCTTTGGCCCCACGAACTGTGCAGTGAACAGCAATCTTTTCATTTCTCCTGATTCCAAAGGATCTGACAGTGTATCGAGCTGCGGGAGACAAACCAGTAAGAGTGAAGCAAAACATCTCCAACACCACTTTACACACCACATTCAGGGGGAAGAAAGGGCAGTTTTATGCTGTGGTAGGGCTAAGATTGCCAGTATTGGAGATTTAAGGCCTTTATTCATGTAACAGGCACAGACAATACAGTCTTCTCTACCCTTCCTACATTCCTCTCCCTGACCTAGAGGGATAAAAACCCTATGGAAGGTGCACTTCAATCAATGGTACTAAAGCTTTAAGAAGGGGTGGAAGGATAGCTCAATGGTTTGAGCAGTAGCCTACTAAACCCAGGGTTGAGAGCTCAATCCTTGAGGGAACCATTTAGGGATCTGGGGCAAATCTGTCAGGGATGGTACTTGGTCCTGCCATGAGGGCAGGGGACTGGACTCTATGACCTCTCAAGGTCCCTTCCAGTTCTATGAGATAGGTATACCTCCATATATATATATATAAAAATAAAAGCAATCATTATGCCCTCAGAAGACAAAGCTGGATTTTTTTTTCCATTGAAAGGCCCCAAAAATGGCTTCTCCAACTACTAATAAAACATCACTAACTGTTACAACATGGGATCTGGGTTGCTGCCCTTCACACTAAGTGACAACTTACCCTTTGAAAAGACAGGAGTCTGGCCGGTGAGCTGCTCCAGCACTTTGGCTGCCCGGGTGAGTCTGTCACCACTTTCTCCAACACAGATGTTAAGACAGAGTTTGCGGATGCGCAGCTCACGCATAGGGTTCTCCTTCTCACCCTGATCTTGCTGTAGTGGGAAAACACATGCAGTTGAGAGAGATGAGCCTTGCTCTAACCCAGCAGACACAAGATGCCAGTCAGTAGACATTGCTACAGGAGGGGAGTAGGGCCAGAAAGTGTTTAATGATGTGGTGCAATCATTTAGAGAGGCAACGTGTCATAGAGCACAGCTGCTAGCCCTGTGCAAGAGGAGCTAGAGCACTAGCCATGACTTTCCTGACACTCTTCTACCTTACAGAACTGTGTGCTTCTCACACTCCAATCCAGGGGCAAGGGAAGCATAGCCAGCATTCTGTACCAGCTGGTGCCCAGCACTTCCCATTTATTTGTGCATTTCCAAATGCCCCACAGAGATTGGTGCTGGCCCTGTAACTACAAGGCCAACATTTATGAGGTCTGCAGGGTAAAAACGGGGTATGGGACAGTCCTGAGCTGCCCCCCTCAGAAAGCTTGGGAAGGCAAGGATTCAGTCCACTGCTGTGTGGATGGGGAGCAATCAGAGCCCATAGGAAAGAGAACGTGAGGGTTCAACCCCTAATTGCCAGAGCAGGTGAAGGCACCAATTCCGGGAAAGGGAAAAAATGGAGGGTCCCAAACTCTGGGGCAGAGCACCCCAGAGGCGGGTGTCTAAACCCCTGTCCCCACTGCAAAGAGGGGCGGCAAGTTTCAAGCACCTGACCCTGCAGAAGAGAAGGGGTTGCGCCCCGACATGGCGAGACAACGAGGAAGGGACCCCCGGCCTGCACGCAGCTCCACGAGCCTCCTGCCTGCCAGGGGAAGGGGGACCAAATCCAAGGAACCCGGCCTCCGGAGCGGCCCTCGAGCAGGGAAGACTCCTCGTCCCCCCATGCTGGCCCCTCGGGAATCCACAACCCTTCTCCTACCCACCCGCGCAGGCGGCGGACCCGACCAGCCCCAGCCAGGGGAGGATGGCGGCGGATTGACAAGCCTCCCCCAGCCCTTTCCGTGGACCGCAGCTACTCACCGCCATGATGGAGGCGTGGAAGAGATCGCGAGAGTTCCGGAACGGGATCTTATTCGGCAACCCAGGCCCGCTGCCCTATAGAGACAGCAGGAGGAGAGGCGCCCAGGCTGCGAGGCCGCTGCTGCCCCCTGCAGTCCGGGGTGCGGCCCTGCCCCGCCCCTAGCTCAGAGCCGCTTCTCGTTGAGAGGCAGGAGCCCAGGATAACAGAAGAACCCACCAGTCCTGCCACCCACGCTGCTGGGCTTGTGTTTCTGAATCAGGGGGCGGGGAGGGGTTACTGAGTTTAAATCGTGGATCATTTTTAGGTATAGAAAACAGAGTCTTGCTGGGGCAGGAGCCGGCTTTCCAAGGACTCTGCTTCTGAGGTGCCCAGATACCAAGCACAGTGATGGGCACTCAGTTAAACAGCACTCTCTCCAAACTCATAGGCTGCTCTCTCTACAGTCTGGGCAGGAACAGAGGGAATGTTGCTGGTATATTTAAGGTGCGGTAGCAATAAATAGGGTGATACAAACACCTAGATTACTGGAGAGGATAGAATCATTATTAGATCTTGAGATCAGGCAGGTGACTCACAGTGGAACATTTCAAACCCTTGTTTCCATTTTTATTTTTCATTTTCAGAAAATTACAAGAAAAAACCTTCAGGACAGATCAAGAGAAGTGACACAGGTGCTGGGCTGGGAGAACAACAGAGCATGGCTAAGAAAAAACCAGGGGCCATGCCGAGATCCGACAAAGAGCCCTTTACATTGCACACCCGTTCTGGAGTCATTCTTAATATTTCTGTTACTGAAGTGGAAAAAATAGGGCAGCTAAAACATTTTTCAGCTTTTGTAACTAGTCACCAAAGAGTGTGTCGGCTGGCACATAAATAGCTACATTCATATTTCAATTCCTGTTGAGGCTGGAGTAGATTTGGTTGTTCTATGGAGCTGGCAGCTGGACAGGGACTGGCAGAGACCTGGAGAAATGCTATTACTAAATTTGGGGTGTAAACTAGTAAGCCCTGGTCTACACTACAAACTTGTGTTGGTATAACTAGGTCATGCAGAAGTGTGGAAAACCTACCCCTCTGAGCAGCCCAGTTACACTGACTGAAATCCACAAGTAGACAATGCTACACGAATGAGAAGGCTCTCCCATCAAAACAGCTACTGTCTCTCAAATGGGAGGGGGGAGGTACCTACTCCAGTAGAAGCTTCCCCATTGATTTAAGTGGTGTCTTCACACAGCGAAGCAGCTGCCCACTGTAAGCATAGACGAACCCTAACTCCAAGAGAACAAAACACAAAAGGCAGCATCTACTTACTGCCAAGACATTTTCAAATCAGAAACTATATTCAGTTCATTTGCAAGCAGATTTATTTAGAGAGTAGCTAAGCTATCCAAAGCTTCCATTTTGCAGGACTGTGTTATAGCACAGTTAAACCATGGTTTAAGCTTTTAGCATAAACAGGTTGGAGTTGTGTTATTACTGAACTCCTGAACCAGGCCAGATCCCTGCCAAGTTCAAGGACATGCAGGTACACAGTTTTAGGGATGTCAGAAATTGGTTATTTTGATAACCCTATAAAGGCTAAATTTATTAGCAGTTACAGTTACTCAGTGCCCCCTGGGGGCAGGGCTGGCAGCCAGTGAACTCCCAACTTCACTCCTGGGGAGCTCCCTGCCACTCCACACTGCTGCCTCCCTATCAGACACAGTAGTGTGGGGTGGCAGACAGCTCCCATACGTGCTCTTCATTTAAAATTCAGACCGGCAGGCTGGGACTGAGCCAGCCTGCTGGTCTGAGTTTTAAATGCAGAGCATGTGGATGGTGGGGTGGGTTGTTGCGGTTAACCAGGACTATTAACCAGTAAGCAGTTGCTTACCAGTTAGCGGGATAGTTATTGGCATCCCTACATGGTCTAAATATGCTTTAATCTTAGCCTCGCTATAGGGTGTGTTTTTATGATTCCTGACGAGCAGCAGTGTTATATCTGGGTCCTGCAATGTGGTCGACTGTACAGTGCTTAGGCCTCCCCTGCCTCTCACTATCAATTAACTTCCCAGCAGACTCCTCTAGTCCTTGCAAATGGAAATGTAGATGCTCAGAATCTTTATGACCCAAAGTGGGAGAGTCCAATCAATACCAGAATCATCAGGCCTACAGTGATCATGAGAGGCCAGCTCATATCAGAATTCAGCAGTGGTGAGGCTATGACCTTCTTTCGGGACACTGTGGTGGGCTGCTTCTTTTTTTGCTTCTCTCTCAAGCGTGCCAGCAGGAACTTCAAGTTACTGGGCGGAAAGAACTTTGTGCCAAACAGGTTGCATTTGGGAATGAAAAAATGGGGCAGCTGAGCAGTTGCCACTTGCTGAATGAAATTGGCCAGGACCCTTTCAAAACAGGGAGCAACCCGGGGAGGCTTCCCGTCTGCGTCCTGCTTCCATTCCATCAGTGTATGAAAGAAAGAGGTCTCAGCATGGTAGGACCTCAAAGGAGCCAGTTCCGAGGGGTGCTCTGTCTTCAGGGCCCCCAAAAGCCTTTCCAACATCTGCAGACATTCTGGCCTAGAGATGGAAAAGCCAGATTATTGGCATTAGCGATGTCTCTTATTATTGGGTCAAATCCCAAGATCCTTACTCAGTTTTAATTCAGGCTGTGCCCTCAGTGAGAATTTACCTAAGTGAAGGTCTGGGGGGCACAGAGTGCTAGGCATCTGACCTATAAAAACATAAAAAGGGGGACAAATGCCGCTCCACAGAATAATTCACTGACGGGAAATATAGCAGCACTGGATTTATGCAGATGTAACAGAGCAGAATCTAGGCCAAGGACCCGCCTCCCGCCTTGGAGCTCTTGACAATCAGCAGACACAATCTTGCAAATGTTTAGTGCCGGGCATATAGTGAGCAGCCCCCTAGATGGACAGGGCCATTCACAAAGGGAAGTGTTATGTCCAGTAAGCTAGTTTGGAGGGGTGAGCTCTCTTCAAACAAGGTCAGCATGGAGAAGAGGGGAGGAACTGAAGCAAGTGACAGAGTGTTGATATAAATCACCATTCAAGTCTCAGCTACTGTATTTCACTTTTGATATGGAACATGCCTAACTCTAAAGGGAAAGGAATATGCTCAAATGCATAATCATGTTAATTAATAATACTTTGTACTTCTATTCCACCTTCCAGATGAGTATCATACACATTAGGATCACCGTTCCCATCTCACAGAGAGGGAAACTGAAGCACAGACAGGTGCTGTGACTTGCCCAAGGTCTCACAGTGAGCCAGTGGCAGAGTGAGGAATAGAATCCACAGTCCAGATTCCTAGCCCCGTGTTTGTGACACAAACTCCCAACTGATAGCAATGCTTTACATTTCCATAGCACCTTCTATGCAAGGATTTCAAAGTGTTTATCAAAAGGTGATGAGCAGTCCTGTGGCACTTTAGAGACTAAGAAAAATATATAGAATCATGAGATAAACCGAGGAAGTGGGTTTTACCCATGAAAGCTCATGATTCTATACATTTTTCCTAGACTCTAAGATGCCATAGGACTGCTCGTTGTTTTTAAAGTTACAGGCTACCATGGCTACCACACTGAGACTTTTTAACAAAAGATGTTCCAGGTCCACATCAAGATTTCCAGGACAAAGAAAGGAAATTATTTCCAATAGAATATGAAGTTATAGAACCAATGCTAGTCTGGCCTGGCTCTAGCAGGACCATGGGGAATATAAAGACATCTGGCCCAGCCTGGGTTTCCAGACTTGCAGAGATAGGTGGTTTGCCAATGATTTGCCAGAGGCACATACCTGCAGCACTTGGTTGCATGATACTTCCGGCAGCTCTGAGTACGAGTGTGGCTTTTTAAAATCTCCTTTTCCACATGAGAGAAAGAAATTTTCCAGATCTCTGAAATAACAGCAGCCCCCCCGTCAGCCTATGCCCTCAGCTGAGCACAGAAGACACTTGATGTGGAAATATGATACTTTGTAATGTATTCCTGGTTCCAATGTTGCCTGACAAGTCCCCTCAGACTATGAAGCTCATGAACAACTTACCCCACCCCTCTCTGATTCTTGGGCTTCTTCACTTTTCCTTGCACCACCCCTTCCTAGCATAGGGGGCCCCCATCTCCTCCCACGCCTGCCACTCTCCTGGAAATGCCTATGGCTCCCTTCTGGAGTGGCTCTAGATCCAGGACTTGAACTGAAGGGACAAGGGTTGACCCAATTCCCTTCAATACATGTTATGTATTGACTCCACCAAGGTCTCCAGAACACACAAGCCCTGTTTCGGCACTTAGGATTGCCAGGCGTCCAGTTTTGAACTGGACAGTCTGGTATTTGAGTTTTCTGTCCAGGAAACAAATTGAGAAAATACCGGACATAGAAATGTCGGGTATTTTCTAATTAAGTTTTTATTATTATCGTGAGTATCAGTACGTAGTTGCTACTGCCTGACTGGTAGACACGCTCACACTGCGTGAGTCACACTGCGTGAGCGTGTCTACCAGCCAGGCAGTAGCAACTACACAGTAGGGAAGAGGGGGGCGGGATGGAATCCCCAGGGCCAGACTCCCCC